TGTGGTCGAAGCAGGACAGGTACTTGCTGAGATTACGCACAGCGTGCGCAATGTCCGGCCTTGAGGCTGAGACCAGATATTGTAGTGCACCAACGAGCTCTCGGTACGGGGGCGGGGAGTCATCTTTCGCATTTGTGACCACCTCAGCGCGCAGCGCTTCCCGGGGTTGAAACCGCGTTGAACCCCTCATTGTAAAATCGCTTTAGCACCTCCGTAAATATGTGGCGGCTGAAAAAATACCGCATGTCGACGCTCGCTGTCGATCAGGTATCTCCACGCGTAGAAAATACTTGATGGGCCAGAGAGATGTGAGTTCATACTCCTCACTGAGTTGCTTAGCAACTCTTAGCGCAAAGGTCACTAGGGCCGAGGAGCAGTAGGTCGTCGACGTACACCGTGAGCAACATGGTGACTTCCCCTCCCACTTTCCTGGCGTAGAGTCCGTAGTCAGAGTCGAGGCGCTCGAGTCCGATCTTCGTCAGGAACTTGTGCAATGTCTTGTTCCAAACGCGAGGCGCTTGCTTTAGCCCATACAAACTCTTCTGTAGCTTGCATACGTAGCGCGTAGAGTCTTCTCCGAAGCCTGGAGGCTGCTCCATGTAGACCTCCTCGTCGAGATCACCGTACAAGAACGCGGTCTTGACGTCGAACTGCAAGATGGCCCATCCGCGTTGCAGCGCGTATACGATCACGCATCTGATCGTCTCAAATCTGATAACAGGTGCGTATGTTTCACTGTAGTCGATGCCCATGCGTTGTAGAAAGCCTCTGATCACTAGTCGAGCTTTATATCGCTTAATCCGGCCCGTAGAGTCTCTCTTGAGCGCGTACACCCACTTGCACGAAATGACACGCTTGCCCTTGGCCTCCGTGCGTCGCACGAGCACCCAAGTTTCGTGCTGCTGCTGTGAGTCCATCTCAACTTGCATCGCTGCTTTCCACTCCTTCCACTTCTTTGACCTTGCCGCATGCTTGTGACTAATGGGGATCTGCACATCCTCGACGTTCTGCTTCGTCACATTCGTCACTACGTAGTCCTTGAGTCGGGCGGATGGTTGTCGCTTCCGCTTCGGTCGCGACGTAGCTGCACTGTCGTCTGGCGACGACTTCTGCGTCGTGCATGGCTCCCAGTTCTCGTCTTCGTGAGCATCACGTCGACTGTCCTTGGCCTTCGAGGCTCCCACTCGATTTGCACATGCTTTCGCTTTATTCTTGCCTTTTGTGTTCTTCCGCTTGGAACCTCCCACTGAAGCTGCTGGCTTCTTAGCGTCCTCGCTTGGTAGCTGTGGGTCATCACTTCGAGTCGCAGACTCGGCTTCAACTTCAACACCTTGGTCATGGCTCTCACCAGCAGTGGCCAGCTTCGCCATCTCCGCTGCTCGCCTTTCTGCAAGCTCTGCAGGAAGCTGCAGGTACGTAGACATTGTCGTCCGGATCGGCACGATCGGGATCTCCGCAGGTAAGTCGTAGTCTCCGTAAGCGTAGGTGTTTGCAAGAAGTTGCTCAATATACACAGTGTTTACCGTGTACTTCTCATGTGCCTTCATGTTTCCATCTCTGCACGTCGTCACTGATCCTGTGCGCAGGTTCAGCAGCTTATAGCCCTTGGTCTTCTCGCTGTAGCCAAGTAGTAAGCACATCTGCGTCCTTGGAGTGAGCTTCTCCTTTCTCTGCCGAGAATCATCAGGGATGTGCGCGTGCACCAAGCACCCCCACGTGCGCAGCACGCTGAGGTCTGGCCGCTCTCCGTACAGGGCCTCGTACGGGGACTGCTGGTCCTTCAACACCGGCGTCGGCGTCTTGTTGAGCGTCTCAATTGCATGTAGGAAGGCTTCTCCCCATAATGAAACAGGCATTTGCGTAGCTTGTAACATAGATCTGACCTGCCGCATGGCGTTCTGGTTCGTGCGCTCCACGATAGCGTTCTCCTGCGGGCTGTAGGGATTGGATGAACGCGTGTCGATGCCGAGGTCCTTGCAGAAGGTCTCGAGCTGCATGTTGACGAACTCGCCACCACCATCGGAGAACAGCGTCTTGATGGTCGCCTTCGGGAACTGGTTCTGGATCCAGCGAACCTGCTTCTGAATCAGCTCCGTGGCTTCGTCTTTGTAGGCTAATAGATATCCCCACTTGTATCTCGTAGCTTCGTCGATAATCAATAGAAACTGGTTTGATTTCGATATTGTATCCACTCCAACACTGCATAGGTCGACACAAAGCTTGTGCAAGGGCTTTGCAGAGCGAGACGGCTTGCGCTTGTAGCTCATGCGCTTCGTCTTTGACTCTAAGCATGGAATGCATTCATAGAGCAAAATTCTTCGACTGCATGTTGATGCCAAAGTTATAGGTTCCTGCCATAGTCTTGATAGTCTCCATGTTTACGTGGCCCATGCGGTTGTGCAGCAACGTCATGGGGTTCTCAGCTTCACTGGCCTTGACGCTCATCACGTTCTTGCTCTGACGTGGCGTCCACATGCGGTACATCCCGCGGATGTACTTGAAGCGCAGCTTCAATGTGTCCTTGACCAGCCACGTAGTCTTCTGATCATGCGAGATGCGCACCTTGAAGTTTCCTTTGAATTGCATGTAGGTCTGCGAGATCAGGTTGTAGGCAGCCGACTTGGCGTAGCTCACGTCATCAAGGAGGCGCTCCTCGATCTTGCCCGTGTGCTCGTTCAGCACTTGCATAAGCACTGTGCCTACAGTTGCGCGCTCGGTTGTGCCGTTGCCGAAGACTAGTTCTGCAACTGAGTCTTCGTGTAGCTCCGTAAACAAGGTAAGGTCGCTCGAGACGTTGGTCTGCGCGCCGCTATCCAACACCCACTCCACCATGTCCTGGTCCTTGTCCTTGTAGTTGAAGCTGTCACGCACCGCGAGTACATGCTCTTGTCCTTCAGCTTGAGTCGGTGCAGCCGACTTGGCTGTCTTCACAGTAACCACATCGATCATCCTGCGCGGCGGGTTGCTCGAGTTGTTGTTGTTGTTACTGTTGCCACGCTGGCGGCACTCAGGATCGCCACTCCAATGTCCTTGCTCTCCGCACGTGTTGCACTTTGTCTTCGCCTTTCGCTTGGCGATGTCATCCCTCGCACTGGATGAGCTCTTGCTCTTCTGCCGCTTGTTCCGCCCACGCGGCGATGAGCTGCGGCTGCGACGATTGTTGCGGTTGTTGTTGCCTCGTGCTTGGCTGCTGCTCGAGTTTCGACGTCCTCTTCCGTCGTTGTGTCCGTCGCCACGGCCACCAACAAATGCAACATCTCGCTGGACGGCACGTCCACCTCCACCACGTCCTTGCTGTAGCTCAGTCTCTTGGCGTGAGTGGTCAGCGAGTCGAAGGCGCTCGATCGCTTGCTCCCACGTAATGGACTCATCACGTCCAATACGTACTTCATGCTCGTTTACCACCGCTGGGTACACACCCACTGTATTCGACAATAGGATAGAGACGGCTTCCTGCTCAGGCAGCTGCTTGTTCGCGCGGCGAAGTCTCTGTTGGTAGTCGTCGATGTCACGAATGTAATCGTCAAGTCGTTCGTCACGTTGCAGGCGACGATTCAGCATATCTCGCTTGAGAAACACGCTGTTTACTCCAGGATGGTTATCAAAATGATCTTCCAGTGTTCGCCACAGTAGGATAGGATCAGCACGTTGAATAACACTTGTAAATCGCATCTGTAGCTCTTGACTAAGTCCCATCGTAAGTTCACGTTGAGCAACACGCAGTCGTTGCTTGAAACAGCCGCGCTGTCCTTCGTTACGTTGGTCTGCCATCGTTTCGCGCTCCATGATGGGGTCCAAGAGGTGTGCGACGTCGAGAATGGAGCAAATCTCGACGCGCCACGTCTGGTAGTTGGTATCGGTAAGTCTTGCGTTCAACTGCACGTGTCCGCTCTGGTTCATGCACCGCGTGCATCTGTGGTCTCCAACCATGGGTTCGTCCGTAGCGGAGTCGGTCCCGGCCTCGGTCTGGACTGGCTGCGCTGCAGCCTCGGACGTTCTTGGGTTTCTTGGCGGCTCGCTCTGACGCGTGCTGGCGTCGGCGGTAAGTTCCTCTGTGCTTGGGTTTCCTCGGCGGGGCCCGTACGGCGTCGGCACTCGCTGCGGTTGTGCTCGAGCCGCTGAGAATTCTTGAATGAGCTGCCTTTGTGGGCGTCGGGTGGATGCTTCCACTGGAATGTTCTGCACTTGCTGCTGATTTGTCAGTGTAGTCATAACGGTACCGAATTGGGCCAATAAGAGCTCGAGTTGTTGCTCAACTCGGGTTGATGACGCTTGTGACGTCGCATGTGTCTCGTCTGACGTTGTCTCGTCTGCTCTTGCAGGCAACTGCAACTCGTCGGACGCGTGCGAGCTCTGCGTACTCCGGACTGGGCTTCCAGCTCTCCTTCTTGGGCTCATAACCTGAGTGATGGTCGCTCCTCGGCTACGCCGAGTGGTGACCATTGCGATGAAGGAAGTAGTCGTAACAACAGTAGGACTGAAAGTCCAGCAGGGGAGAAAACCGAGTGCTGCTGCTTGCTCTTGACGGCGCAAGTTGTCGAGTGTGTAGCAGCACAAGGAAAAACCCCGGTAACATATATTGGTAGGATTAGCAGTAGGATGGGGCTGGCGGCTCGCCAGCCAATGGTCCGTCGAAGTCCGGCTTCTGGACGCGAGCATCGCGTCCTGGAGGTACCTGAGCCTCAGGTTTGAGCTGGACGCAGTCCTGGCTCTTCCTCCACACTTCACAGAGCCAACCCACACCGCAACGGTAGCATCCGATGCTTTCACTGCAGCGCTACAGGATGCGATGGCGTAGCGTCTTGTCCAGGCTTCACCAGCAGCGCTACTGGCAGCAAGTTGCGGTGTGGTGCTCAGGCTGAGCTTGGCGCGACAGTCCACGCGGAGTCCCATCCGAGCTTCGCTGGCCACGTTACCGGCATGAGGCACACTGGAGTCTGCAGTAATGACGGCGCGTCAGATATCGGGCCCTAAGCACCAGCAGGCAGGACGCAGGAGCGATGTGGAGCGCAGCTCGCCTTCTGCCCCAAGTACGGTTGAAGATCACGGTCACCGAGAGCATAGTGCTGCGCACTTGCAGCTCACATACGACAGTACGTCACAACGACAGCGCACGCCGCCTTATGAGCCTTGTCGAGTCTCCGTGCTTGTGTTCGTTTGGTACATCCCGGAAAGATGCTTTTACGAATGTTTTAGCTAATATTATTATGATGTGAGGTTTTGAGAATAGTCTGAAGTTACCATAACAAGCGAGACGATATAACTGCTAATGTACCCCTCTGGTATATGCCAGGGTGTCCATGAGATACATAAGAAGGGATACCTCGAGAAGTTAAAAGTCACATTATAAAGTACTTCAGGTCTGAAATTTAGCCACGCATGTCAAATTTGCTTACCCGGAGTTCCCACCACCGCAATTTTTCAAAAGCGCCGATCCCCCTTAAGATAGAGAAGACTCTTTAGTTGAGCTGGTACATCAGTTATCTGATAGAAAGAAAAAAAATCAACCTGGCAATTAAACCGCTCGACTTTTGAGGTCAGACGAATGTAGAGTGTCTATTTATACGCATTGACATTCGCTGTTATTGCTCCTTGCCAGTATGCAATTTTTTGCTATAGACTTGAGATGTTAGACAAGAGGACGCTACATGCAGGCATGTCCGCAGGTTTTTTTTTTTTAATCGCCCATTTGACAGAAAAGAGGGAATCCTAGAAATTTGAAAAGGGGAGTGCTGACTATACTAGTTTTTGTATGGGCATCAAGATTAAGCACTACATCCGCTTTATTGCCCCCCCCCCTGGTAGAATTCTCTTCATTTTGAAAACTTCAAAAGGGTGTTTCGTACTTTTCCGAAAGCAGTACCAGTGACACCAGATACTATCTGAATTTTCTTTCTACGCTAAAATCCGCTCTCCGATTTATCGCATTACAGGTTCGAGGCTCGCATTGAAGGGCGCCTCTTCAGATTTACCAAGATCTATCGAAGGAAGGAGCAAGCCATGGACCCAATCGAAGATGGAGATGACGATGCTTCACACCTTGGAGATATTATGGATGACTTCTACGCGCTCATGTACGAGACGGCTGTGCTGGTAGGACCAACGGGAACAAGTCCTTTGAAGACGAAAGATTCAAGTAAGAAAAAGAGTGGATGTGACTCCCCGCCACGCGCATCTTCGCCAATACACGATGCATACAAGAAACCAAGTAGCGGGGGTCCTTCTGTTAGTGTTTCGGCCTCAACATTCCTTTCGAGAGAAATAATGGACGCACTTCTGCCGCCAAAGTACGTTTAACAAACGTCTTACCCACAAAGTAATTTCGACGACTTATTAATTTCTTTAGAACGTGGCAGGATTCGCAGGGCAAATGGCAACGCATGGTGAGTATGCTACCTGCCACACGGACGGAGACCCAGCGACTCCACGAGACTTTCGACCATCTATTAGAGAAATACCAGGCACGAGTCCACACGATCTGTGCCGTTCGGGAGAAATACTTCTTGCAAATTTTCGGTGCGTCGGACTGGGTAAAGTTTTATTTCTCGGTAAAACTGATAGCACGCTGAATCAACATCCAGAGGAGCTAATTCGAGAGGTTACGTGCGAGTGTCCTGAGCGAGGCCTGATGCTGTTGCGTGTACACAATGAGCTGCGACTTCGAGTTGAAGCGTATCAGACGCTTTACCATAACAGCATCGCGTACGGAAGACAGAAAGCTGTTCAAGCAGAGGCTGGTGTCACGGAGCTGGAACAGGAAATTTGCCGATTGAAAGCCGAGCACGAGCTGCTTGTTTCAAAAAGGAAGGAATTGGAGCTCAAAGTTACGGTAAGGTGCGTGGTTTGCCTCAATATATTTTTTTAATTTTACACATTTACTGATAATAACAGACCGTGGAGGAGCAACGCAGTGAGGAGGAGAAGAAGAGGCACCTCCGTCACGCCCATACAGTGCAATTCTTGCGAACTCAACACCAAGAATTAGAGTTTTTCCACCACGAAATGACGCAAGACTCGCCGTGGAGATAAAATACTAACCAGGTTATTAAGGATAAAAATTTCGAAACATCGAGATCTTGCTTTTGAAATGGCGAAAACTAGGTCGACTTCGCGGCTCTCGCGTCTTTCAACGACGCAGCTATCTTGTCTGCATTCGCCTTGTAGTCCCAACGTCGCTTCACGATATGGTGCAGCGTCTGTGTGTCCAACGTGGCCAGCTTGCCTTCCCGAACGAATCCGCCCAGATTCTCCGGTGGCAGAGCAAACACATTAGCAACCTCATGCAAGAGGTCGAAGAGGTCGTTGACTGCTGCTGGCACGGACGGAGAGCGGAGTGCTTGACGATATTCGCTCACGTCGCGCAGTAGCATGCAGGCGCCGTCGGGGTCAAAGCGGAATTTCCTCAGATGCTGCAGATACAGATCTTTGAATGACTTCGTAAGAGCTACAAGGAAATGATCGCAGTTCTCCTCGACCTAATAAGAGACGTAAAGTACTGAGTTAGTCAAGTATAGTTGCAGTGTATGTTGACTTCTATACGCACCAGGACGCGACAGAGGACAGTCACGAGTGGCTGCAAATACTCAGTGCACTTCTGACAGGCCTTGGAGGACGAGAGCGACATGCTGGCTTGACTGCCGAGGAAGTCTCCTTTGTTCTGGTGGGCGGTCAGGATCTGGCCAATCGCCTTCTCCAGCACAGTCAACACTTGCTGGAGTCCGGATCCGATAGCGCTTTCGAGCTTGTTGAGACATTTCTGCTTGCTCTCTTGGCAGATTCTAAAGAGCACCAAATGGAAATACGTTAAAAGTGATCGCTGCAATGTCATAAAGAGCGTCAACGTACGTGAGCTCGGTAGGCAAATCCTCCTGCAACGGCGTAATGGAAGCTTCGAATTGGTCGTCGAGGAAGTCAATTCGCTTGAGTAAAGCCTAAAAGCGACATCCATTTTAACAATATTAGGTCGAAATACGCAACTTGTTGGCTTTTACTGACCTCTGTGAGGATGAAAAACTGCATGGGGGAATCTGGAGTTATCCGCTGTTCTTGTAAAATCTCCTTGGTCAAAGTCACGAGTTTCTACAGAGACAACTGTGTCAGTATGAGGCGTAATAGGGACATGTACACTACGACGCACCCCCAAATACTCGTCTCCAAATGAAGCCACGAAAGACGTGAACGCCTTGGTGATGAGCTCTCCACGTAGCTCGGAGCTTTTCAAGACAATGTCGCAGCGATCAATTGTCTCGTTCAGCACTTCCCCATACTTGATGGCTACATCTTCGTCTTCCGCCAGCGCTTGGAGAGTCTCGAAGAATACAAGCGACGACTCCAATTGGGAGATATCTTTCTCGAGATTGGACGACGATATCGACGTCGTGGAGGCTGAAGACACCAACTGAATGGAGGACGCCGATTGAGACGGCGAGGATGTAATCGTGACAGTTGTTGTGGCCACAGTTTTGGTTTTGGATACGCCTCCTTTGCTTCGGGAAGATACGGGCGGCTGGGGAAACGATACTGAGGCTATGATGCCCTTGAATTGGTCTTGCAACAAGTCCAGCTCTGCCTGTAGATACTTGTCTCGATGGTTGCCAAACAGAGAATGGAGCTGGAGATTGAGAAACGTGTGGATTCTCTCGTTCTCGTTGGCAGCAGGAGGTTCAGTCAAGTGATCGTCGACGGTACTCGAGTCTTGGTTTGATACAGCGTCTGGCTTGTTTGCTTTTGACTGGTCGATATCTTCGATCTCAGCCACCAAGACACACGCTCTCTCGTACGATGAACACAACAGTCGCACGTAGTCTCGGTTCGGTGAAGACGACGTGGAAGAGGATACACTTGCAAAGTCTGGGGGCGATTCAGTGTACCGACGGGTTTTGAGAAATTGGTCCAAGAAGGATAAAACCCCAAACGCTGGGTCATTGAACAAGCGCTCCACTAGCAGCTCGCGGATGGAGGCGCAGGCTACAGCAGGGAAGACGCTGTCGATCACTGGAAATTGGTCCGTACAGATGGTCAGGATCTTGGAGAAGAGCGCGTCCAGATCCTCAATCGGGTCCAGTGACGACGTGACAGGCTCCCCAGCAGCTCTACAGTCAGCAGCAGTTAGTCGCATACAATAACTCAGCCAAAAGATTGAAATTCTGCCTCGTACGTTGCTAGTTGATCGCACATGACGTTCCACACGTATCGATCCGCCACCTTCTCCTTGTCGCTGTACTCGATTAACGACTCGGCACATCGCCGCATCCCCGTCAAGTTTTCTTTCTCCTGTTCGTGGCTGAACTCTGTCAGCAAATTATTCTCCGTCGTCTGACTCAGTCGCTCGATCTCTGCCACCGCATACGCCATGGCAGAAGACGACAACTCGGAGGAAAACGCACTCATCTTCTTGATAATCCGCGAAGCTTCATGCAGCTGGTTGGGGTCGTGTAGTGTATTGAAAAGTTTGTTACTTGACTTGGTCAACTTGCTACTGGGGTCGTTCAGAGCCAATAGCGCCTCCATCACCTCGTCCGTCTCCAATACTCGGGACCGCTCCGTATCCAACGTCGACAATTTATCTCCAATCGTCACGGCCGAAGAACTCACTTTAGTAAATCTCTCCTCCAAGTCTTCCATCTGAGCACAAATATCCTTTAAAAAACAATAAAAAAGACACTGTCAGTCTCTAGATTCTACTGTTATATTTATCTACAAAAATTACATTAAGCAGCATATCCGGCTTGAGGAGTCCCTCGTGGAACTTGCTGCTCACTCGTCGACTGTCCTGTTCCAGTTCTGCAATACGGTTAGACACCACTTTGCGGTGCTGGACGAGACGCTCAATCGACGCAGCCAATACACTTTGGAGAGCGTTGAGCGATGACGTGTGCTGGCTGAACGAGGTGAGACAGCTCCTTGTGTCGAAAGTCGGGTCTGTTGGCTCCCACGTGCTCGCTAACAGCTCGTCCACCATCGTCTCGGCGTTGTATGTGCCATGGATGGAGTCAGTGGCGGCTGCCAGGAGCTTCTCAAGCTCCGCACTTGGGCCGGAGATCGAGGGAGGGCATGCTCCCCATGTGGAGACTTCATCGCGTCCCGTCATCTTCAACGTCGACCCTTCAATTGTTGAAAATTGATTTTATTATTGTATTAAAATGATTATATTTCACAGTAAATGAAAAAACTGTGAAATTTAATCAGTTTAACAATATGAAATTCAATTTTCAACATGCTGTCTCGTTGTCTACCCATTTCAAATGATTTGCTTTAAATAAATGCTCATGGATTAGAGGACCCACAATGGCTGGCTCAGCGCTACAATAGCTGAGATGTTGTTGACGATAATATATTTCAGGGCAAGGGTGGCGACAGGGAGGAATACATTCATCCTGATGACGTCGCCCCGTTTAACGACACAGATATAGATGGCTTTGCCGAATATTTCTTTGGATATGGAGATCGTGATGGATGATGCTAGCAGTGCACACACGGACGGCAGCAGGTAGCTTGTTTTGGTAGCGCTTGAAGCGACCGTCTTCGTGCAGCGATGCTGAGGCTGCAGCGGTAGGCGCACCACCCCCTCATTCGTCTATAGCTTCTTTAGCAATAACCGGTCTCGGCTTTTTTGCGAGGTCCCCATGTAACTCGCTTGCAGCCTGTTGAACAACAGGCCCTGTTCTAGACGTCGATTGACATCACGAGGCGCCTCAAGAGGCGTGGGGCTCGTAAATCGTAGCCAGGTTTTGAATGCTTAAAATAGCGATGTTGGTAGACAATAATGTCTAGGAAGTAGCGTTTGTATACTATCTTTGATGCTACCTGGGTTTCTGAAAATCGTCGATTTTTTCATCTGGACATGTAATCGACCTTTTTATGATTGTTTTAATCTAAAAAAAGTTGACGAGATAAAAGTAGAGTGCTATCCAAATTAAAGGGGTACCATCGCTTTAATTTGGATAGTGATTCCTCCGGATAGTGATAAGCAGTGGCTTTTCGACGATATCACTACAAAGACGATTGGTTGACTCTGTGGTTGTAACGGGGTACGTAGCCCTTAGTGTACCCTGGTTACATGAAGTATGACACTTCACACTTCAGGAGCATACTCCGGGATATTTGGTACAAGGTACCAAGGTCGTTCAAAGCCAACCATTGGTTAAATGACATTGCATTTCTATAGGTAACTAATAGTTTGTATTAAACCCAAACTTAACCTACCTATAAATATACTCGGTTTACAATCTACCTTATTTAGGTCATCGCTCTCTTTAATTAAAGAGGGGACCTGTGAACTGCCGTTCACTGAGAGTTTGTATACTCTCGGAAGATAACTTCCTCTAGCGCAAGGTGCTGTGTGACCCCGTCACACTTGGTAGCACTAGTAGTCAATCCACGCCACCGCGGGTAGACTACCTAAACCTCTCCGAAGTTCGTTGCCATGGATAGGAACGACTTCTCCCATTTGAACGACTCTCAGTTCGAGTCGGTTCGGTA